CGACGCCAGACGTCGAATGTCGGACGCCGTCGTCGACGCCGTCGTCGCGACGTCATCACCGCCGCAGTCGGTGGACGTCGGGTACACCGATGCCGCTACTCCCCGTCAAGAATTTCAAGGCGAATGCAGCCGTGAAGCGTTATTTCTCGAAGGTCCGCGCGGACGTCCGAAACATGAAGTAGTTATGTAGTTGTTTGTTCTTCGACTGGAAGCCTAAACAGGTGAACACGACGCTTTGGACGCCCGACATGGGTACAAAAGGAATGGGTATGATGCCAAACAGCAAGTGTTGCCCAAGACCATCAGCTGGCGCTGTTGGACAGGCGGCCTTCTGTCTCGAATCGACAACGTCGGCAGCGACGCCGACAACGAGTCCTTTTGAAAATGAGCAGGGACTGCTGTCGGTCTTCGTACCCATTCTTTCCGTAACCGTTTCGATCGCACCGAGCATGGGCCAGGGACGCTCTGACCTGGGTCAATGCAAGCCCGGTTCATTCGGGCTTTGCAGGATCTTGCAAAATCCTGCAGGATCCTGCACGCTAGCCAGGGTCAACGCAGCCCTGGCCCTGCAGGATCCTGCAAGATCCGGCGCTCTGGCTGACCCCTATTTGCATTGACCCCCGTCTCTTACAGCCCGAACGGTCTAGCGGGGGTACGGCCAGACCTAGGACAGAAGAACATCCTTCAAACGCATGAGACCCTCCACTGGCCAAATCGAAGAACACTTGAGGGCAACATCCCCCGGGATGCACAAAAAGATCCAACAAGCACGAAACACATCAGGGTACCCTCCCCGAACCAACCTCGATCTGATCCCTCGGTCGGAACACAGCGTCGGGAGTTGCAGGATCTTACGCAGAATCTTGCAGGATCCTGCAGGATTGTGCAGGATCCTGCACGCTAACCCAGGTCAACGCAGCCCTGGCCCTGCAGGATCCTGCAAAGATCCGGCGCCCTGGCCGACCCCCATTTGCATTGACCCCCGTCTCTTACAGCCCGAACGGGGTAGCGGGCAGCGGCCCCTCCCCGAACCGACCTCGATCTTCTACCTCGGTCCGAACGCACCGTCCCCGAACCGACCTCTCCTGGGGTGCGCTCTGACCAGGGTGCCGAGGCGAACTCGGCTGTGGTGACGAGGGCCTCCCAGGAGGCCCAACAGGGCGAAACCGAGGAAGGGCAGTGGCACGTCGGCGGCGACGATAGTGGATAGTGGCGAATAGCCCAGGGGCGGGCATTACACGCATTCGCCCGGGAGCCTTTTCGAAGGCATAAATCATCGGCGCACCTGAATACATGTATTGCTCTCCCCTGGGCTACTCGCCCCTATCGTCGCCTTTGAGTATGAGGCACCCTCTCCGAACCGACCTCGATCTTATACCTCGGTCCGACCGCGGCGGGCAGCGGTCGCGGCGCCCGTTCCTCCACTGACGGACGTCGTGCCGGGCTGCGCTCGGCGCCGGCCGCCCCCGAGGCGGCGCGTCGTCGTCGTCGTCGCCCCCGTCCTTGCCCTCCGTTCCGTCGTCGTCGTCGTCGTCGTCGTCGTCGTCGTCGTCGTCGCCCTCGGCGCCGAGCGGGGGCGGCGGGGCCTGCCCACGGCGCCGCCGCCGGGCCCGGCGGCTGCCGCCGCGTCCTCTGCGGCCGGGGGCGGTGGCGCGCAGAGCGCTCGGCGGCGGCGGCGAGGCCGGCGACGAGTTCTCCGCCTGAACCTGTGGGAGGAGGAGGAGGAGGAGGAGGAGGAGGAGGAGGAGGAGGAGGAGAAGGTGATGAGATGAGATGAGACGAGAGCGGGAGACGTCCAAGCCGCCAACCGCCGAGATGAAAACGAAAACGAATTACCCTTCCTCACAATCCTCGGGGGCCCCGCCCGCGTCCTGCCCCATGCCGAGGGCGGCGCGCGCCTGGGCCTCCCAGAACGGGAGGGTCTCGAACGAGACACCGAAGCGCGAGAGCAGGACACCTGGTGTCCAGCAGGGGCGCCACGGCGGTCCTGGTCGGAAGACGGGATGGGCAGACGGCGCTGCGGGCCTCGGGCGCGCAGCGAGGATGGTGGAGGCGAGAGACAGGAGATCGGACGGGGTCGGGATCTCCAACTCACCCAAAGACCAGCCCGAATACTTGGACAGCCACCTGGGAAACTTGCGAGCCAACAGTCGGGCCTTCTGCTGCCTGAGCCCCTTGCCCGCTTGGGCGGGATGGCAAGCCTGCGAGAGGGCCCTCACATTGCCCCAAGCAAAGGCCCCACACGAGATACAACAGATGAGCCTGTGGCCAGCGATGACGCTGGCTCCAGTCTCGTTGAACACGCTGGTGGCTCTCAGGCAGTGCCCAGTTAGCTGCACCAAAACTCCAAGCTCGGGGTCCTGGGGGCCCTGGGAGACATCCGAGAGGACCGCTCTAAAGCGCACCCAAGCACGGGGGCAGGCGGGCTGCCGAGCAGGCCTTCTGCTGCCCCTAGGCGCAGCGGGAACCTCAGGGAGCCCCTGGGAGTCCACCCAGCCCCTTTGAGACATGAGCACTTCCTGCCGCCCAGCCCACTGGCCCACCTCCCGACCCAACAAGCTGAGCCCACGGACCTGGCTGGCGGCCTGCTGCACAGACGGATGCTGGGCTGCTCCCCGCTTGGCCAGGACATCTGCTATAGCATTCGCTTTCCGTTCCCACGGAGCAGACATGCCCAGTGCCAGGTCAGCCTCCGAGAGGTGGGCTTTCGTTTTGAAGACGGGAAGCCCTTCCTCGAACGCAGCATGGATCCGAGACCACATGTGGGACTGAGGGCTCTGCGCTGAGACGGACGCCACACGAGCTCGAGCAGCTGCCACCGATCCCTCGCAGTCGGACCAAATGCCTTCGACCTCATGCGGGACCGTGAGCTGCGGCAGCATATAGAAGGCGTAGTCCTCTCCGTCTCGCGCCCACTGTAAGGGCGAGAGGTCCCATGGGACAGGGCCGAAGGCCGCAGCGACCAGAGATCCCTCCGAGTCGACCTGCACCACGCTCCATCCAGCCCTACGGAGTGCCTCGTCGGACGGGTGCAGGGCCGACCCATCTGTAAAGAGGCGGCCTCTGAGCATCCCGTCCTCAGGCTTGTGAATCCACAAAATCTGGCACTCACTCGAGCGGAGCGGAGGAGGGACGAGCTCACGAGGAAAGGGGAAGAGGCCATTGGCAAAGAGCTCCGCATCTCCGCACCAGGAGCGAACTAGGCGTGCAGCCTGCCGACATTCGTCCGAAAGAAAGTGCCTGCGGTCCTCTTCCCAAGCTTCGCAAACAAACCGACGGTGAAACACGGTCCCAGGCTCCCCTTGACACAGCAAACATAACGGCGACGTAGCGAAGCCGTGCCGATGTAGCCTCTCCTGAGGCCAATGGGTGCCCGAGACCGCCGCTCTAAACGAGTTTTGATGCGCTCGGGTCCAGGTGTCGGTCGTCCTGCTTAGGAGGCCCTCAGCAGGCTGCCAAAAAATCGGACGGCACCAGGTGCTGGATCCAGCACGAGAGCTGAGGGCTCGGTAATCCGACATCTCCCTGGCAGCCTTTCCTGCCAGGTCGGCCACAACGCGCGGGGCTAGGCGTAGCAGATCGATCTGCTCACCTGTCTGTAGAGTGACCGAACGTGCCGAGTGTGCTGTCCAGCCCAAGTCACCACACGCCAGAACGTACACGTGAGCGGGCGAAGTCGCCCGAGACCAGGGTCTGCTTGTGTTGGCCAGCACACGCACGGCATCTTCGAAGGTGGCCTGCAAAATCTCTAGCTTGGGGGTGGCCTCCCAGAGGGCCCTGGCCCATTCAAAGATAACCTGGCGGAAATACAAAAGCACAGGGTCGACCTTCCTACCGAGCTTAAATGAGCGCAGCTTGAGGCCCACCGAGGCACCCCGCTTCATGGGAGCAAGGGCCAAGAGGGCCTGCTGACGGACTCTGTTGAGGGAAGACCACGGGAGCCCCCTAACAGCACATCCCCAAAGAGCAAAGGCTTGGGGGCCCGCACGCTGAATGTGGCCAACAGGGGCGCCAGCCCTCCTAAGACTACGGAGCCTCGCAGAGCGCCTGATACAGAGCCCCACCCTCTTGGAGGCTATGGGGGCCAGCCTAGACGAACTCACTTGCCAATCCGTGCCGAGGCTCCTGATGACTCCTCGGCGTTCAAAGGACATGTGCCACCTGCTCAGCAATCCATGTGCAACTTTTTTAGACGACGCCAGGAACTTGCATTTTTTCTCAGACAGCACAAGGCACAGCTCGCGCAAGCCCCCGATGAGCTTGCTCCCGACCTCGCCCAGCTGGGAGACGACGTGGAAGCCCGTGCCCAGGGACTGCGCGCTGATGTCGTCTATGACGTTCCGAATGTGAACTGATGGATGAGCTGCCGCCAGCGTCGTGAGAAGCCTGTAGACCAAGACCCTCGCCAGCGATGTGGCTAGTGAACAACCCGCCAGCACTGTGCCCGCCGCCCTGATGACGTCCGAGACACACCCTCGGAAGCTGATAGTCCTGGGGCCGGCGTAAAGGCCACAAGCTGCCCTGAGAAGCTTGACTGGGAAACCACATCCCTCCCCCTCATTGAACAGCACGAAGTGGCACACTCTCTCGTAGAACTTGTCGAGGTCCGTGGCCAATGTGGCCGTGTCCAGCCCTCTGACTGCTGCGTAGTGTGCGAGCATCTGATGCATCCAGCCTGCCCGATCACACTCACGATCCTTGGCCCCCCAAAAAACGGGGGAGGCGTGTTGCTCTTCCCACTCCTTGGCCATGTCGCGCCTGACCTTGCCCCAGACCCTGAGGATGGAGCATATGAGGGCGATCGGCCTGACTCCAGATCCATCTGGCTTGGAGAGGAAGACCATGATTGTTGGCCAACGTTCAGGCAAGCGTGGGTCCGCCTCCCACTTCGCCAATACGTCAATCAGCCTGAGGATAAACTGGTCATCTAACAACAAAAACGAACGTGGGTTGACGCAATCCACGCCAAGCCCAACCGTTCGGCCAAACGAACGGCAGGCCTGTCGTACCCTCTCGACTGTGGGGCGAGGAAGGTCGGAGTTGTTCGCCAACGCGTGCTGCTGGTCCGAGATGCACTGCTTGGCGTCGTCCCAGTACTGCGACCACTCCTCGACCATGGCATCGACTGCACCATCACCCTGCAAAGCCCAACCCTCGGGGGCCTTGGGCCCAGAGGCCTGGGGCGACTGCTTGATGAACCTGTGGGCCTTGCGCCCCCCAGCCTTGACTGAGGCCTGGGCCCATACTCGCCACTCCTGAAGTTCAGCTTGGGCAGCCGCCGCCGAGGCCTCCTGGGCCGCGTCGCTGACTTTGACGCAGAGCGTGTCCAGGACTTCCCCGCCCAGCTCGATCGTGTGCCGAACCTGGTGGTAGCCTAGCCCGATGGAGTCGAAGCCGTGCAAGGACGCCCCGTCGATGGCGTCCAGTTCTTCGAGCAAGCCGAGCAGCACCTGCTGCCCGTCCAGCGAACCCGGCGCCATTGGCCTTCGCGAGGTAGCCGCCATGGCACCCCGCTTCTCCTCCTCCAGCGAAACTCCGAGACTGCCTGCTGGGCAGGCCGCTCCTTCGAGGAGGGGGGGCCGTGCCGAGGCGTTCGGGGTCTCAGCCTTCTCAGGTCGGAGCAAGGGGGCCCAGGCGAGGGAGGCCGAAGACCCCGTCGTGGGCGCAAACGAAGCGCACGACCCGATCTGAGAGGTAGGCGCCGTGCAACCCACCAGCTCCTCCTCCAGCCGATGCGGCGCCTCGCCCACTGGGCGGAGCCCCTCCTCCCCGAGAGGGCCCACGGGGGCTGGGCGCCTCTCGGCCTTCGCAGGTCGGAGCGAGTGAGTCCAGGCGGGGGAGGTCGTCGTAGCCTGAGGCGCAGTAGCCGACCCCGCCGAGCTCGCCGCCCAGTTCGCCATCTGACCGAAAGTGTGTCCCTGGGCGTAGTCGGGCAGCCTGACACACCGCGAGACGTCTGGCGGCGGTGCCGCCCTGGCCGCCATCTCCTTGCCTGCCTCCAACGAACCACATGTAAGCCCTTGCGCCCGTCTGATGATCGAAGCGAGGGACCTCCAAGCGCGCATGACCTCCCCGCTGCCTGACATGGGGGCCTTCCTCATGACTTCCGCCAGTGGGACGGCCTTCCTCACGAAGCCGCCAGACCTGCCCTTGTAGGGTTGCGCCGCCCTACCCACAATGTCAAACTGCCAGCAGAGCTCCTCCTCCATGTTATCGATCCACTCCTTCCAAGCGTCCTCCAGCTCCATCGACGGTGCCTCTCCTGGCTCCCAAGACCAGGTGAGATCGATGGGGTGGTTGAGGCAGCCAGTGGGACGCTCCGTGGGGAAGACCTTCCACGTCTGGCGAACATGTACAGGAATGTCAAGCGAGGGTCCCGTGAGCTGCATGCTGATGGCCACGTGCGGCGACATTGGAGCACCGTAGAGGGCCCTGACGTCCGACACGCACGAGGCTAGCCCCTGGCTGACAATGAAGAAATCTATCTTCGAGCCCTGCGGGGCTGAGAAGCACGTCGGCCCAGGCGTGGCGATGACCGTGGCCTGGAGCATGTCGGCCCACTTCAGGATCCTCTCGTCGTAAGGGTCCTGGTTGAAGTCACCGCCGATGACCCAAGGGATTCTGGACCTGCGCAACCTGCCACCCAGCTGTGACAGCATGTCCCAGAACACGGAGTAAGCCATCTTTTCCACGTGGCCGTAGACCGACATGAGATACATACCATGGGGGAAAATCATGTTTGCCCTGACAATCTTGAGGCGCGGGCCGCAGGCGGCGTCCACCCCGAACTTCTGGAGGCCGATCCCCGCGAACTCCACGTAGGATGACACCGCGGTGAGGACTCCCGCAGAGCTCTCAGAGGCCTGCGACCCTGTGGCACGAGCTGCGCCGAAGGCCCCATGATAGCCCCGAGACCGAAGCCATCCTGCAGCCGAACGTATACGTGATGCGTCTTTGAGCCGATGTTCCTGGCACAAAAGAACGTGTGGTCTGGTGGCGTCCCCCCAACCCCTCTGCCAGTCGATGGCTGCCTGGAGCGAGCTCCAGGAGTTGGCGTTCGCAGACCAGAATCTCCAAACCTTGACCTTGCGGCCCTTGACCTTGGAGCGGTCAAAGCCGCTTCTGACGCTTGCCAAGGCCGAGGGCCGCTGCCGCTGCCGTGACCTTCCGCTTGAGCACCTCCTGGTCCTCGGGCTTGGCCTGGCGGAGCTCCTCTGTGGCCTTGCGCAGTGCCTCAGACTTGGACTCGAAGCCGTCCTCGCCGAGCAGCTCCATGTCGATGTCGTCGTCTCCAGCAGGCTGGTCGACATGCTCATCGTCGTCTGCGTCAGAACCAGGAGGAGGCTGGTAATCATGCTGAGCAGCAGAAGAAGCCTGGGCCCGAAGCATCTCCATGAGGATCTTACCTTGGGCCCCCTGGGTATCATCCTTGAACTTGCGGTACCACTCCTGGAACTCACTGCCCTGGGCCGAGACGGCTGCGGGGTCGAGCTCGAACGATGGAGGAGCCCAAGCCGCCGCAGGTGCCGAAGGGGCCGCGGCTGCCGTACCTGCAAGCTTGGCAACCTGTTCAGCTGCCTGCCGTTGTAGCTCCTCAACTCTGGCCTGAGCTTCGTCAGCAGCAGCCTTGAACTTGTCAATTTCCTGCTGCAGCTTACACTGAATCTTCTTGAGCTCCTCCTCCTTCTGCGAAGCCTTCTCACGCCAGCTGGCCACCGAGGCCTTGGCACGCGTGAGCTTCTGAGTGATGGAGAGCTGCTGGAGCTCGGGAGACCGTGCCTGCGTGATCTTCTCCTGCAGCCTCGCGATCTCCTCCAAAGCGAACTTCTTAGCTGCTTCCGACGAGGACTTGCTCTGGGCCACCCTGCGAAACGTCTCCAGGGACAGCCTGGCATCCTCCAGCGCCTTGGCCTCAGGGTCCTCCTCGTCAGCGGCTGCAGCCGGCTGCGGCTGCTTCGTGGTCGTCGTGGGCTGGAGCAGGGCGAGCTGCTTCTTGATGTCGGCGAGCTGCTTGGCCAGGCCCTTCTCGCCGTCCTTGCTGGAGCCGTTGGCGCCGCCACCGCGGGGCCACTGTTGCTCCTGGCCGCCTCCCCTGCCCGCGACAATCTTCTCGTGCTCAGCCTTGGCGGCCTTCGCGATCCTCTCAGGGGCCTTGGCGCCACAGCGGCAGACGAGCCGCGACGCCCAGTTCCCGTCCCTGCCGCAGCGCCCGCATCCCCACGGGGGGGAGCGTGGGCCGAGGAGCACATCCTTGCGGGCATTGCTCCCCATGCCACGAGCGTGGTGAGAGAAACGGGCGGCCCGTGCGCCCCTGAGGTGCGGGCAAAGAAACTGATCGGGCTCAAGAGCCCTCGCACTGCCGCGGACTAGCGGTATCCGTGAAAGCCAATGCGGGCTCAGCCCGCAACAGCATAGCCTTGAGCCAAAATGGCTACGGAGAGGAGGAGGAGAAGGAGGAGGAGGAGGAGGAGGAGGAGGAGGAGGAGGATCTCTCTCTCTCTCTCTATCCCTCCCTTTCTTTCTCTCTACATCTATTCATATTTACCATAGCCCTGACAGGTTTCTTTATAATCCCCGCCAGCTGGGGGGGTTACCAACCCTGCGCGGGCGATAATCATACCCGAGGGATAATACAGTTCGGGGGTCTGGCGGGGATTTTAAAAGGATTTTCCCGGGGAAGGTGAAGCTATGATGATGATAACGATAGCCATGATGATGGAAATCCTGGGCGCTCGGCACAGACTGACTCAAGAGATCTCGATGCTTATACAGCGTGCCAGCAGGCGCTCGGCACAAGACTGACTCGGGAAACCTCGAGGCGCGCGGCTAACTATACAACTTGCCAGCAGGCGCTCGGCACAAGACTGACTCGAGAGGCCTCGAGGCTCGTGCCTACAACTTGCCAGCGCAAGAGAAGGTCCTTGGCCGTTCTGGCCAAGAAACCTCTCTTGCGCTGGACTTCGAACCGCTCACCCATGCAGGCGCGGCATCCTTTGGAGCCGTTCTTGCAGGGAAGGCACTTGGGGCACGCTTGGGCTGCAGCGCTTGCTGCCTCCTCGAAGGTGGCGTACTTCGGCTTGGCCGAGTCAAGATTAGATGATAGCAACTTCGATTCGCAACTTCCCCCGTGGATTATAAGGTTCGGCCTCCGCGCCCGTCTCCACAATTAAATCATGTTGAACGGGTATAATAAAACATAACCCTTCAGGGGGGAAATTATTATCGCCCGCGCCAGAAACATATTTTTGCCGGCGGCCTGATTGAAGGACCAGGGTCCCTCCAATAGGGGATCACTCATGATTTTTGTCTGCGGCACCCGCCGCGCAACAACGACGAGGAGGGGGAGGAGGAGGAGGACGAGGAGGTTTCAGGACCAGTCCTGCTCACCGCCGAGAGGAAAATGGGGACCCAAACTAAAGACCTCTTACCCCAAAGGCTTGGGCGAGGGCCCTGGTCGTTGGTTTGGTATACAAAGTGCCCGGCGTGGGGCGTGCGTTCTGTGTACTGGACGTGGCCCTGGGCGGTGGACCCTGCTCGAGTCGGGAAGGCTGCGAGAGGTATACGAAAAATTCTCGAGGACGAGGTCGACGACGATGAGAGGTCGATGGCAACGGCGACGGCCGCGGCGACGGCGACGGCCGCGGCGGCGGCGACGGCCGCGGCGGCGGTGCAGCCGAGGGGGGCAGAACATCTCCGAGATGTCGGGGGCATCTCACGGATGTTCGCCGGGCGCCGTCGGGCAGCGGGCCCCAGGGGGGGGCCTCTGGCGGAGCCGTCCGCCTCGTAGCGGCAAGGGTGCGGCCTGGGGCCCCGGGCATGGCGTTCTTCACGCTGCGGTTCTGCTCGTGCGCTCCCGCGGCGTCGGACCTCGGGGACGCGCCGCGTCGTGCTGCGGGGACGGCGTCGTGCCCCAGAGCGGCGCTGGCCGCACCGAACCCCCGCAGGCAGTACATCGGAGTGGATGCACATGTGGAGCATCCGGAGGCCACGCGCCGCATACGCAGGCGGAGGGCAGCCGCGCAGGCGGGAATGGCACCTGGCCACATCCAGCTCCCCGCGTGGGCGCACCATGTGTAATGCGGGATGGCGATTTATAAAAAAGGTGAGAGAACGATGAAACAGACATAGTTTTCTGCGATTTCTGCATAGTTGTCCAACCCGCGGCCGGTTTTTTCTCATCGTCATCCTGGGCGCCGCCGCGTGAACACGACCCCCGGTCATTTATCAACCGCCATCCTCCATTATCCGGGTATCCATCTTCACGGGAATCAGCAAGGCAGAATACACCACCCGAAGGTGCATCGGGCGTGGACCCACACGGCTCAGCGCAAGCCAGGCGCCGCCAATGTGGAAAGCAGGGCGCTGCAGACCGTTGGGGGCTGCCACCTCCGGGGCCGCGAGCGGCTTTCGAGCCCGACTCGGCCACTCTGGCTCTGCAGTAGAGCCCGACCTAGGCCAGAATACCATCCTTCAAGAGAATCTCC